ATAGTCACAATCACTTAACTTACATGCACAACACAAATGTTCCAGAATATAAAAAGGCACGCATAAGTGTTCGCAAACACAAAAGGTACATATTCTTAGTACAGATACAGACTGAATGAAGTGCAGAAGAGTTGCGCAGTCAGCTCGTGGCGTAATCGTGGGTATTCGAAACTAGCCGAATGATGACGAAACAGAGAAATCAAGTGAACTGTTATTTGTTTTTGTTTTTTTATCGATTGGAGCGCACGAAAGGGAATCCCTATAATGTTCAAAGAACATCGTGCGTTCCTAGGGAGGATAGGGACAGGAGGTAGGTATTGGAATTTTTTTTGAATTTTTGGAGATTATATGTTGTTACTTCCACACAGGCAATGAATTCCAGAGCCTAGCCGTTCTATGGATGAAGGAGTCTTGATAAAGTGCTGTTCGACATCTTTCGAGGTTGACAACGAAAGGATGTGCTGACTGGGCTTGTCTAGTTCGTTTGATTGGTATTGCTAGTGAAGGGATGATTGCAGAGATTTCCGAAGAACATTTCCCGTGGAAGTATCGATAGAAAAGTGTGTTCCAATGATGTCAAAGAGTGAGTGAGTGTGGCGTCACCCACCAGGCAAATGTTGTTATTAAACTGGTAATAATGGCAGAATTATTCCTTTCACTCATAGAAAACAAGGATTGAGGGACAATTATATCAATGTTAGGTGGATTGTTGTATACTGAGTATTAAAGACATCGATAAAAATTAATCAAGCACAAGAAAGATGACCTGTTCCAGGAGCATAGTTAACCTGCCACTGGAAGTCGATATCAGAAAAAAAATTTCACCTATTGTAATGGTACAAAAGTTCATTAATATATTTGTGGGCATTAAATTTTACTCAAGTGTACTTGTGTACCTGGACCGTTTTTCTCTGTGTAGTCGTCATCTTTATCATTCTCTTGAAGTTATCAAATATCTGATGTCACTTCTGTCAGTCTAATTATGTGATTTGATTTCAAAAAATTGCGAATTCAGTAGTTGTTTAGTAATATACGTAACCGCGAAGTCGAATGGAAGATAAAAGGACTTGCAGTTCTTTCTCGGAGACGGTATTATTGACTCATTTTTCGGAACTATAGCACAACAATGTATATATATGTGATATATACCCATAATTGTGATGAAATTATTTCCCTAGCTATTCATGCTCTTTGAGCATTATATAGCATTTTCCTGTGTAAAAAACTCGTATATTTCGCGATATAGCATTCGGTTGCGAACACTGAAATCGATACGAAGAGTACTAAAAATTTTCATGTTTTTTTTTTCAAGGAGCTGCGCAAAATCCTGGCATATTGAAGGATCATGAATCCACCAAAGGATCATAAATCCACCGAAGCCTCCACATAGAACTGACTGAAGATATCTGCTGAGAGGATGAGTGCCACATCAAATAAGAATTGAAATCGATAGGTCGTGCAAGTCTGAGAAAACCAAAGAAGAAAGTTCTTCAATCAATATTCATTGCCATGTAAACTTCTATCAATATATTATATAATGTATTATCTGAATCAGTAAATTTTATTTTTGACCAATAATGGCTTCAGACCTGAAACCGACTTGAAACGTCAACAAACATTTTAGGTATAATATACGTCATTTCGACCTAAGAATAGGTCAACGACTTATTTGGCCTAAGTGAATATTACGTCTTATTTACTTCAAATTTACCAATATGGGGAAAAAACTGGAAGTAATTCAGAAGACGAGAATAGGGATATTAGGGTATCCTGACCAATAGGTCGAGGAAACAATTAGGTGAAATTGCCCTAATTCTAGTCCGATAGTGGTCTGATTTTAGTTATTCTGACGTTATTCATTACCTACTTATGGGTGGGTTTACTAAGATTTCTACCTGGTTTACTGTCATTTGGTTGGGTTCGGAAAACAAATATGTACCGTGTTTCACGATCGACTATAACTACTCATTTACGTGTGGAGACTCAGTAGTTTATGAACATGGCGTTCAAAAGAAAACTCGATAGTAGTGGAAGGTGTAGATAATATGCATGTTGTTTAGCTTATTTGAGGTTGTTGTGAATCGTTATTCAACCTGCGATGCAAAATTTATTGTGATAATGTTGATTTTACACATGTAAAATTAGTGGGCCCACGAAATTATTGGATTTGTAGAAGAATACTGGATGATATTTTTTGTGTTTTCGAATTATTTTTCAACAATTCCATCTGAAAATGAATCAACTGGTAGAATATGATCATATATGCGAAATTTAACCTTTTCTGTATTACTATTCATTAGGATGTGGTCGCTATGTAGAGATTTCTTCTTTTTCCGTCAATGGCGAAAAAGGTTCGAGCCAACAAATATGGCGTCGGTTTCATATTGGACTTGAAAGTCGAATTTTCCAGAATCTTCAACTTTCAGGGCGAATAGGCTTCGTTCATAGTCGAAAATTATGTATATTCTGACTATGGAGCCCAATTTCCCCATATTGGGATTTTAGACTATATCAACGAGTATTTTATTTGAGTAGCAGTCAACCTGATGGATTTATATTATCAGATGTTCCCTATAATCATATAATTTGTCAAATGTTCGTTGTTCGCTTTCAATTTCTTATTCTGCACCACGGTATGTTTTCTAATTGGTCGCTGGATGACAGGCTTCATTTTTCAGCGAATCAGAAAAGGCCATCGCCGTGTTGTCATCTCTCGAACAGTGTTGCCGTTCAAGTATACTTTTAGTACATTTGCCATTTTTGTACGTTCTCAACCGAAGTGTAATAATTGATACCTGTTTTTTTTTATAAAAGTTATTTGAAATATGCATTCAGATCTGACCAATGGAATAAGTGGAAGTAAAACTTCGAATGTCAAAACAAATCGATGGTTTATATGATCAAACATCATCGTAATGTATAGAAAGATATCATGATTTGCTTTAGAAGCGTTCAAGCGGTAAGCTACCTGAACCACTCACTGGTGATAAAGAATAAAACATTCAAAACTCATACATTGCGCTTGTCTCCAGTTTTTAATATTTTCAGAAATTAATGATCATTTCAAAACATTTGCCGACCTCAAAGCACCAGGATCAATAATAGTCATCAACTTTGAGAACATGATTTTAGGACTAATTTTGGTATTCTCGGCTCTCTCAAGGACACTTCGTTCTATAAGGATTTTATAGTGGTAATCTTGCCTTCATCGGATATGAAGTTGGTACTGATTAGGTTAAAAAAAGTCTAAGAAACTCCTTCGACTCAATTGGTCAAAAATAGGCAAAACAGAGTATAAATCCGACTTATTTTCTCCATCTGATTATTCCCTGACTTTATGATCGTTTATCAAGTTAGAATTTGGTAAATTTCAACTCCAATAAATATCCTGATAGTTCGAGGGCCTGGAAGACATTTCACTGGTGATTTTGATGTTAAATATCACCTAATTGATAACTAAATGCTCACTAAGACCATGAAGTTATGTTTGAAGTCTGTAATGAGTAGTTGCCAACTATGCAATTTGTCTATAAAGTTGATGGATTTTATAGGAAATGTTGAGGTCCTAACCAGGTATTTTACAACCTAATCCATAACTTTCAAGTTACTCACGGCATAAAGGTAAAATATTTTGTCGGAAATTAGTAAATTTCGACTTCTTCGAGTAATTTCTCCTCTCTGCTTGGTATAATTCTCTTAAAATGTTGGTTGGGGTACGTCCTCAGACGTCCTCGAAATGTCCCCAAATGGTCCAGATTAGACCCAAAACGGACCTAATTCGTATGTCCTAGGGACTTCCGATTTTGTAACATCGTATGTCCCCAAAACGTCCTAAATACGTCCGCCGTACTTAAAATGGACGTCCCCGAGACGTCTGAAATGTCCGAAGCGGACGGCTTCAGGACGTCCTTGGGACGTACTTGTGCTATCTGGGTATCTATATTTCTTTCCTTCGAACATTTTTTCAAACAAATTATCACTGACAAGCTACTGGATTTTTCTTTCAGGCTCTCTGATAGAAACATTTGTTATACGCAGTGACATTTTGGGGCAAATCTTCTGATTTGTCTCACTACAAGTAAATTGAAATAATACGCATATTTTTATCTTATAGAAACGAGGAGAGAAAATCCCAAAAAGTCAGGTAAAATGAAATACCATATTTTACATTTGTACTTATTATCATAAATAGTCAATAATGCCCCTACTGAAACTGGAACAGATATTTTTCTGAAATCCTGTATTTATAATAATATACTGCTTGACATGATTTCAAAAATATACGACTTCCGCTATTTCTGGAAATCATATCAACTTTCGAACTTTAAATGGAAACCCGTACATCAATACATATTTGGAGTTATATACGACATATAAACACTTCGTATTTACACAGGTTAATATGTGTTATTACGTGATATATTGAGCGAACACTAAGAAATCGATATAATAATTCTCGATAGAAATTTATTCAGCATGTGAACATCTATAATCAATTTCAAAATTGAATTGAATGATCAATAATAATACTAATAATATCTACAGAACTCCATTGAACAACAATGTTCTATCGAACTAAGTCCTTCTGCCAGTATATCCCCATTTACTCTAGTGAGTGTCAGAACAATCTAACTATATAAGATATTGCGGATGCATAATGAAGATTTGGAGCCCATATTCCATTTTGCATCTCATCTTGAAAAAAAATTAGAGTCAGAACCAGCCTTCAATGAAATTCAGGTATCTCACATATATGTACTTATAGTGGTTGATAGGGAAATAATTGTTGGTCCATCTACATATCAGCAAATTTTATTTTATATATAATTTACAATGAGTTGTAGAGCCATATATCATTATTTTCAAATGATACGAATGAAAATACATTCAATAAAACTATTACCTAGTACATCTAACAATATCGAACTTTAATCTAATTTGTACAAAACAATTCAAATAAACTTTGGTTTCAAATTCACATGTAATAAATAATTTTGGTACCAATATCCAAGATGAATATCATGATTGTAATAATTCTCTCGAAATAACAGCTAATATTTCATAAAAAGAATATCGATCTGAAATGTCTATGAATTTATAAATATCAAGATTACATTGATGGCATATAATAAGTTTATATTCAATAAATAATGTTATGTAAGTACACTAGGCGATTTTGAATAGGTGTATAGTACGATTTCAACTTTGTCAAATTGTCAGTGTAAAAGAGGGAAAATGTTCGAACAATAGACTGCGGTGGAGGTGGGGAGAGAATAAAATGTGCAAGTTAGAACTTCCGATACTGAGTGCTCGAATAAATACGTCACAAAATTGACAAAATTTGTGTAGGAACTTCACAATTCGATTTTTCGATTCTACCTCATCAATTATTAGGTCAGCAGATAATATGCAATATATACATTAATATAATTTCAAGAAGAAGTCATAAACAGACGATCACATTATTGAACAATGTCACTATATAGTGTTTCCAAAGCTTTAGAATATCTGAAATCACACTAGGTGGATACCTCTATTGCCTGATCATTATTGTTTAGACGTTTTTCCTTGTCGGTTCTCAATTTGTGATCGAAATTGGATTTTTGTGACAAATAATCATCCACGATCTCTGAATAAGATTCTGAATCTTCTTCATCCTTTCCAACGACGTCGATGTCATTAGTGGAAGGTGGAGAATAAACCCTCGTGTTGTAATATTCAGGTGTACCAGATGTGACAATGCCCATGAAAGATCTGATCTCATCAAAACATGCATCTTCTCTCTCATTCTCGTTACTGCTTCCTGGTGAGTCAGCCACCGCAACTGCACCATTACCATCATCAGATTCGTGCTTCTTCAGATGCCTATCCAGATTAGTTTGTTGTCCAAAACATCGCTCACAAAGTGGACACTTAAACGGCTTCTCTTTATTATGAATGTTTCGAACATGCCTCTGTAGATTACTCGATATGCTGAAGGATCTCTCACAATACCTGCATTTATAGGGTTGCTCCCCTGTATGAGTTCTAAGATGTCTGGTTAAATTAGCTGATCTAGGAAAAACTTTTCCACAGAACTTACAAGCATACCTATCCTTCACTTTTGCTTGGTTTTGATGTTGCAATACGTCATGATATGGCCTCATGCTATTCAGACCAGGCAGTCCAGGTCTCAACATATCGAGTCTTTGGGGAGGTAATGTATTGAATAGAGGAAAGCGATGATGAGAAAATGCGAAAGGAAGTAACCTTTCATTATTTTGGGCTGATGGATAATTGTAAGAGAAGTTTCTAGCATCGGTCATCATCAATGGATGTAGTGGTCTAGGATATGCCATAGTAGGTGGCGCAGACACTCTCTCTGCTGGTGATTTATTTTGTTCATCTATAGCAACGACCTCAATCTTCTCTTCTTTGATCGATTCGGATGGTGTCGAAGATTGTCTCTCAATGTTTTCGTCTCTGTTTTGGGTAGTCACTCGGGATTCTTTCCAGCCACTCAGATCAAGTGGTTGATCAGCCTCGTCGCTACTTGAAGATGATGAACTGGAAGATTGTTTTGACAAATCTTTCGGAATATCATCATCCACTGGAATCTCCACTCTGATTTGTTCTTTATGTTTGAATATGTTGGGTCTTTCGGGTGAGGCAGTCATGTTCGCCTCTACAGCTTTAGGAGGACTCATCTTGGACATGAAAGTATGTTCTCTAGAAGGAGTAAGTCTCTCCTGTTTAGGTGATAATCTTTCTCTTGGTGAGAGTCTCTCTAACTTCGGAGATAATCCCTCACTGCCCAATCTCATCCTCTTCGAAGGCGTATGTTCTTCTGCGGAGTTAATCTTTGGTAGTTGATTGAAAAATAGTGAAGGGATAACTGGGTTAGATGGGAAAAGTTGATGATAAGAATGAAACTGATGGGGAAATGGGAATGGCAGAGGAACACCAGGAGATCTGTACAGGGAAAATGGATTGGTTCCAGCCATCGGGCTGAGTGGTAGTTGACCTTGTGATGACAAAGACGATGGTGTAGTAGAATCACAAAACCTCTTGTGTTTAGAAAGTGATGTTACTGTTGAAAAAGACTGTCCACATTTGACGCATTTTATCTGCATTCGGCAATCAGCATGCATACGTTTGTGACGACACAAATTGGAAAATTGTGTATAGGCCTGAAACAAAAATGAACGTCGATGTAATGGATATCTATGCTATGACCAAGAGTGATATAACGTTTCGATAAATCAATATTTCACCATTCAAGAACCATTTTTAAAGGAATATACAGACTGACATCGAAAATTATGACAATCATTGTAAGCAGTGGAAATATTATTTTCACAGTCCAGAAAGTATGGAAATTCGAAAATATAAGGGCATCCCCCTCAACACTGAAATTCATCCGGTACTTCTCTTGCAGAATATTGAAACATCCAAATTCTTTCATTTCTTGTTCGATAAGTAACTAGTCAGCTACATTATGATTCATTTAATAAGATCTGCTCAATTTGATTGAATCTAAGGAAAATGACCTAAACGGATGTATCTTCTCATATGTATATTTTGTCTAGAAAAAAAAATGAGATCATTCTGGGTATACCTTCTTGCGATGACTTCACATCACATCTCCTATCCTATTCAATCATTCTGGCAATCAATGAAATGGTTTAGAAATTTTCTATAATGATATCATGGGTAGTATGGAAAGTGAGTCAACTCAGAATTCGATGACATCCATATGATAATTCCATGTTCTTTATCAAATGGAGCAATTTTGAAATATGTTACTTTTTTGTTCGTGGTACGAATGAGACTCCCAAAGTAATTCGTATAAACGACCTTGCACTAGAAAGAAAGGAAGGAATGCTCGAATTAATCTCCACAAAATCCAATAGTGTTGTTACACAGTCAATCATGAGGGACATGTAGAGATCTTGTGAAGGACCATCTTCAGCCCAATTGAAAGTTCTACAATACAAAAAGATTGATGCGAAAGTATTACATAATTTGTACCTGACATACTTGGAGTTGAAAACATGTGATGCTACTAGTTGTGTGATTGTTGTCAATGCCCATATAGTCGGAAAAGTGGGTTTATAAATGAAGAAAAGGGTTCTCAATGAACAAAGGGCCCCGTGCCCTGAGAGCGCATACCATTCAGATCATTAAAATTTCATATACCAAAATATGGTATATGATGGGTAATTGCCGAAATGTTTTGTTTTTGATAACACCATAAATCAACGGCTTTTTTAAAAAAGGGGTTCCCCGGGCCCTTATGAAAACGCTACTAAAAAATATCAATAGAAGCGCTTTCATAAGGGCACGGGGAACCTCTTTTTCAAAAAACCCCTTGATTCATGGTGCGGTGTCAAAAACAAAACCTTTTGGCAATTACCCTTCATATACTATTTTGGTATATAAAATTGTGATGAGATGACTGGTATCCGCTTTCAGGGCATGAGGCCCTACATTCATTGAGAAACCGTTTTTCCATTTATGAACCCGATTTTTTTACTATGGGCATTGACAACAATTCCACAACTAGTAGCATCACATTTTTTCAACTTCAAGTAACTCAAGAACAAATTATGTAATTTTTTCACATCAATCTTTTTGTATTGTATAACTTCCAGATAGATTGAAGATGGTCTTTCATAAGACCGAAACATGTTCCTTTCATGATTGTGTAACAACACCATTGAAATTTTTGGAGATGACTTCGAGCATTCCTTCCATCCTTCGAAAAATTCACCTCCACTTTGAGCAATATGGAATTTTACCTAATATTGACCTTGTATACTAGTAGGTTGAAACCAATGTTCCATCGGATAACCTAATGTTTTCACATCTTGACTACCACACCTAATATCTATTGAATGGTTTCATACAAGAATAATTGATCTATTTCGGTCAATGCAGTTGAAACTCACCTTGAAGCAGACTTCACATTGAAAAGGTTTGACCGAAGAGTGGATATGCGTATGCTGTTTCAATCCAGAAGAAGTGGCGAATGTCTTTCCGCATTCTGGGCACGCGTGAGATCTTGCACCAACGTGGTGGGTTCTGATATGTCTTTGAAGGTTACTGGGATCTGTGAAAACCTGTAAATATCCATGTCACTGAGTAAAATATTCGATGCACCATCCATTTTTTTCTTATCATCATCTCAAATTCCTTCGCATTCATTTCCGAAATTTCTGACTCATCTTGATTAGGGTTTGGAATACGTTGTGTTCAGAACATTAGAAATATGGATAAACTGCATGACCGATTGAAAAATACTGAACTTAAAGTATCGACCGATTGAAAAATACTCAACTATAAATATACATACACCTTTAACGAAATCATGACCACTCCTCAAATCAGGGATCTGACTTCATTCAAGAAATCACCAAGACATGTCGAAGTCTCTTGTTCAGGACAGCGTTTTTGGCAATGGAAATAACTTGATCCCAATAACTCCCCACAACTCCGACATAAGAATTTCAAATGCAACTACCTTGAATACCATCTGCACCTGGGTAATCGAGGGGATGGAGTTTACATTTCTCTAGACTCTAGACTACAGGTATATTGGAGTTAAACTAGAATTTGTATTCATAGAGACGAAGCATTGTGTCTGCACACCCACATATTTGTTTTGGTGTGTCGATCAGTTCACCAATAAATGAACAGTTTCTGATTAATCTCGAGCCGCGCAAAAGAAGTTTTTCCAAAATATTGCTCAAAATGCCCTTTGTTAAGTTGCTAACGATATCAGAAGATGTTTTCAAATTCTGTTCAAACATTACTAGGGACATCGGTTTCTTTCTGACACAACCCTTTTAGTGTTTCAGGTTGAGTGGAGTACACTTACGATTTCAGATGGCCCCACAGCAAAGAAGCAATAGGAGTTAGATCAAGTGATCTTAGCGGTTATTCGACGGGATTCTCAACTGAATCCACCGAACGATGCAATAGTGTATTCAAAATTGAAGAGGTTTTGGGATGATGAATTTCAAGTCAATTTCAACATAGTCGTGATGGTGTGACTATCAAAATAGCTCTATGACACAAAATTAACGAGTTTTGGCCAATTCTGAACAACAAAATTTTGGTTTTCTAATTTGAGAATGGTCGAGGATTCATTGAAGAACTCTGAACAAACCTCATATTGGAGAAGATTGAACCATGTGAATACAATAGATATACATATGGTGAGTCATAACTATTGGAACATAGATTAAGAGAAATTGTTCGGACCAAAATATGGCGATAGGACCAATTATGCCTTGATACGATATTGCTGTGAAAAGAGATACAGGGCGTTTTCTGTTGATAATTTCACTGTTTATTCATTCATCAAGTGTCATCGAATTCCGCACAAAAGTATACTTTCATACAGGAAATATTATTGTATGTATTATTCTTCAGTTTGTTACAGGAGGCGCCACCTGAATGATTCCTGATGATGAAACCGACTATGATACTTGTTTTGACAAAACTTTTTAGTGATTTCAATCAGGGAAAATGGCATACACATCATTTCTACGTAATATTGGTACCCTTGTTTGAAAACTATATTCTCATTCGTTCCCGAGAAGAGCGCAATTGAACAGTTCGATGTCTCGTAATATTATTTCATTCATGAAGAGTATACATTAAACTGTCAGACAATTGTTGCCGGTGGATTACATATCTTGTCAGTGAATGAAATTTGGTGCGAGTTTGTAGTTGATACTTTTTTGATCGAAACGCCTGAATCTTTTTCCACAGCATTATTTCATTGAGGCATATTTGTTCCTATCGCCATATTTAGGTCCAAACTATCCACCCTTAGCCTATCTCGCAATTATTATGACTCACCCTCTAGAATAGAACAAGCACCTCGAGTTAGAAGGCTTATCAGTTATAACAATATCAAAATCCTCTCAGCTTTGATCAATCTTCAAACAACGTCTTCACTTCAACCAGTATACCACTCTTACCGTTCTAGATAGAAACTCAATATATTGCATATGTATATGATAACGACAATACTCGAAGTTGATACACTGAGCAGGTTATAGACATCGTAACGATGACAGATCTATAAAAATAGCCACTCATCATCAGAATCAATTCAATATTTGCTGAACTAGTAATGAATATGTATTTGTACGATGTCCACAATGACTTCAGACTGATACGTCGATACCAATTTCAACACATGGCAATATTGACTGAAGAATTTCACGAATAATTGATCTGATGAGTGAAAATCATCTTCTAGCAAGGTTCATATTAGTGAGTTTGAAGGAATGCTAGTCATACGAGTGATAAACGATTACTTGATATTGACATTATCTTGAAAGAATCATTATCAGAACAATTATTATCGAAATTGAATACTGACTTCTTTCCTCACCTTAGGGCAGTTTTCGCAATGGTATTTCTTCGTTTCACCATGTTTGATAGACCGATGTTTTATCAAACATGGTCGGTATGAATAAGCTCTAGGGCAATAATCACACTGATACTCGTCCCTCCTGTAGTTATGTTTGCTTATGAGATGTTCGTCCAATCTGAAAAAAATAGGAAGGTTCAAATTTCAAGTTATCGAATGTGCTATTTACCACATATATTGTCTGTAAAGGTAGATCGAAGAAGTGAAATATTCATTTCTCTATGGATTTAAGGGAACCTCTTCATCACTGATCAACGATTGAATTCATCTATCATTGATTAACGATTGAATTCATCTATTGGTTTTTAATAGTGAAATTTTGAGAGAAGGCACATTGTGAAACAAAACATTTGATTTTGTTTTTACTACATGTATTCAGATTATATCTACAGATTTTTCAATGAATATAGAGACGCATAGCATGAAAATTCAATACCTGCTTATAAAAAAGACAAGAATGAATATCAAACAGGGAATGTGGATTTAACAATTAGTACTTATAGGTATATGCATAGAACTAACTTGATTGAACTAGACTTATTCTGCATTTCCATACATCATCATTACTGATTCTATACATATACATGGAGTTTCCTGAATTGGAGAGGAAAGAGTAGCAGATAATAGAAAATGAAAAATAAATGAGTCGAAAACTAATGAGTTATGAAATTGGCCTGATGTTCTCGTGAATCATCGATCAAGTGAGATGCCAAACCCGAGACTTTGCTTTCAGCGAGTCACTTCAAGCACCGAATGTATCAATGACTTTTTTCAGGCAGTTGTTTTGATTTTCTTCAATATTCTGATCATCATCTCCTAATCACTGTTCATAATTGTTATCATAAGCATCATGCATTATTTGAGATGTTAATATCAACAACATTTTATAATTATGGTTAGGCATTTGTCCATTGTTTTTTTATGTTATGAATGATTGTTTAACAATTGGTAGGATTTAACGTGAAAGGGCGGCTGAGGCCAAATGGCACCAGCAATCCTGGAAAACTGGTGTCATCAGGTTGATTCATAATTTCACAATGAATTATTATGATCATAATGTTGGAAAGTGTGGCCTATTCATGCGGTGACCGAATATATTCATGAAGAGCATTCAATTTCATTTCGCAAATTGTTTCATCGTCAATTCTCTTAGATCACTTCATTTTATTAATCTTCAAACACCCAGTATTCATATTGTCTTCCTATTAATTATGTAACAGAATCTTCTATTCACAAATCGATGAGGAACCTAACCTGAAGCAGAAGCAAATCTATACCATTCACATATTTCAGTGACAGTACCTACTTACAAATGTGAGTTTTCCAAAATCGTTTTGACGACATTTTGCAAAAATAATGCTCTCAATCATTTGGTTCACCACAACGAAATATCTCTACAAAAAGCATTATTGCTTCCAGAATAACTGAAACAATTAATCTCTGTTTCACGTTCAATGAAAATACAGTCATTCAAACGTATGAAATCATGCGATTCTCAAGTGTATGTCATTGCCAATTGTTGGGCTTCGAATAATAATATATTGTTCATTTCTAATACAACAATTCTCTAAATGATCGAAGTATAACGTAGGAGCCGTTGAAAATATTTTTGATTCACCGCCTTTCAGGTATTGAAATCGCACTCCACACGTTCGTCGCAATATAATTTTTGTTCCCTAAATATTTCACAAATGAAATTGCAAGTTCGATCTAAGTATACTTTCACCCATTATCTTATAGAATCCGCTACCCAATTATAAATTGATTCGAAATTATAATTAAATAATAAATATCGAAATTCTTCATGGAAGTAATCCCACTTCTGAATTTATTATTATCATTTTGGTTTGCTTTATGCCCTTTATCACTTTGTGACACGCGAAGTGAATCTTTTATTCCCGAAGTTACCGTCAATTTCGAAACACTTCCAACTAACACGACGGTAGTTGGGAGATAGTCAACTGGACATATATAATACTCGAAGTATAAATCAGTGATTGATATTCCACTTCTTTTAGGAAGTATCCACCAATTGTATTGTAAGCCATAGATCGAATAGTTGGTACTTCATTAGGATATTCTCGTCCGATGAAAGGAGAATAATGTACTGCTCAGTTGCGAGATTCGCAGGAACAACACTCGAATCTATTTAGTATACTTAGGTATTTATCAAAGACGACTTGCCGAATACTGTCATGGTCATGGGTACTAGATTTCAATAAAAATTGAAAAGATGTGTTTTCATAGTGACAATAGGTCCTACTTAAGTTTCACCGAACTATTATGATGAAAATATATTGCTAGTGGTGAAAAAAGGAAAAAATTAGTATATGAAGAATATCATCACCACGGGAACTCAAATCCCTCCGCTGACTCCTCGGCTGACACCCTGGGTAAAGAAGATATTCTCCACTACCTTTGTGTCTAAATATCAACTATTGCTATAGTGCGACAAAGGAGGTATACGTGGCATAAATTTAGGTCGACTTTTCATTAACTATACAGAGTGATTCATCAAGAATAAACAATCTCTGAACTACTGATGATGGTAAAGGCCAAAATATGAAGATTTAACTATATATTAGCTATTGAATAACTGACTGGGTTCTCCTGAAAGGTTCAAATATTTGTTTTTTACTGGTAAAGCTTTCTGATGTGAGTATCGTTCCAAAAGTTTCAGTCTGCGATATATCATATATGTTTTAATGTTTCTCTGCGTTTTTGTATTTTCTCTCCATGTTATTGATGTTATTATAAATATCAATATAAGTGTATCATTTCAATAGATTCGTAGTGAGAACAAATCAGATCTATAAAAAATAATATAGTGGAATAATGTTGCTACATTTTTCTCCTGGAATAGAGAATAGGGGGTACCAATCAGGTATATGTAGGGAAATTGATTCTCCTTCTCTATCAACCTACATTCAGTATTCTTTTGGATTCCACGAAAATCTTTTCGTTTTGCGGAGTGCTTTTCAATATAGACTTCCAACAAGTGACAGCCAAGTCAATTAGAACAACAAATTTAATTTTCAGATAAAATAACTTTTGTCCAAATGATGAACTCCCATTTCTGATCGACCATCATCGATGAGTACTAATTAATAAATTATGCAAACTTTCACACGAACACCCATTTTTATTTTCATATTTGTGGCAGGCGTCAGGTGAACGGTTTCCCATAATGTCGCGTGATTGTATAGCCAAGTATATATTATTAGTTGGATGTCATTTTACGATGGATCATTTTTGTAAACAAAACTAGTAATATTCATATTGCTAATGATACTGTTTATATGTTCCCGTTCTGGTTGATTTCGAACTTTCATTAGCCTGTTCCAAACATACTGAGGGAATCTATAGATTCTAGAAACATAATTTATTAGATAAATATCATTTCCTTTATTTTTTCATCATGTACATGGTCATTATCGAAGTAATAAAAAGTGTAAACTGATGACCCAAAAAAAAAACTCCAATACCTACCTCCTATCCCTATCCTCCCTGTTGTTCTTTGAACATTATAGGGATTCCCTTTCGTGCGCTTCAAGCGATAAAAAAAAAACATCCTACTCATTCGAAAGTATGTTGGAGTAGGTATTTCGGAATGATCATTTTTGTATACTCATACTCCAAATGCATGAGTGTTTTTCTCGGAGTGTGAAACACTGTTTATTATATATAATCCAGTATATTATTCACGAGTGATTATTCACTGTTGGTTCACATACAAAAACAACATACGGTCAGAAACATCCTATAAAGAATACATTTTTGAAATGGAATGATAAAACTCAAATTATTCCCCTTTTTTGTTGGTGCCATATGGCTTATATCATTTGGTGTACTTGTATCCACGGAAAAATTTATCTATCAATATAAATACTGTCTGTAGGTTAATCGAGAAGGTGGTACATTCATTTTTCTAGATTATTGGATGAAAATAAATTTGAAAAGGAGTTTTTGTAAAAATATTGTTTAATTTCGATTTGGATCCACTTTTTGTTTAAGAATCCATGAACGAGTAGCTACGATTACGGATACGAATAATACAGGAATGTAGCAGGAGCATTCGCAAGTGGTGGCCAAGGGGCAAATAAAATTTGATATTCATGACGACCAATATATAAGAATAGCCATATTACTTTTTGTGAACATCGAAAAAGTGTGCTCGCATTTTCTGAACTGTTTTCCTGAGTATTTTTTGATGAATAATGGAAAAATGTGTGATACAATCATTGAAGGAGCATCTGCAAACATAGGGCTAGATTCATTGCCAGAAAAATTTCGGAAAATTTGTTAGCCTAGGGGGTACACTCTGTGACCTAAAGGTGCTGCCGCTTTTGGTGAAAAATCGCTCATTATATATAGGTCGTGCAAAAACTGTTTTTTATAAGTACTGAATATTGTATATTGTTATTGAGACTTCCATCTAGGTGTGTTGCGCGATGCCCAATTCCCACGAAACCCAATTTCCGCGAAACCCAATTCCCACAATGTCCATTTCCCACCATGCCCACCTTCCTTGGATTCCCACCATGTCCACTTTCGATAGATTCCCACGATGCCCAATTCCACCTTCTTTGGCCTCTCACCATGCCCACTTTTTATACATTCCTACGATGCCCTATTCTCACCATGCCCCCCTTCATCATGGTGGGAATCTGAAGAAGGTGGGCATGGTGGGCATTGTACATCGTGGGCATGTATGGTAAGTAGGCATAGTGAAAATCCAAGGAAGATGGGCATGATGGGAATTGAGCATCGTAGGAATTGGGCATCATGAGAATGCATGACAAGTAAACATGGTGGGAATCCAAGGAAGGTGGATATGGTGGGAATCGGGCATCGTCGGAATATATAAAAACTAAGCATAGTGGTAATCCACGAAAAAGGATGCATGGTGGGAATTGGTCATGATAGGAATTGAACATTGTAGGAATTTGGCATCGTGGGAATCTATGAGAAGTAGGCATTGTGGGAATCTTGTGTTTTCTGAATTATCCTCATAAACTGGCAACGTTGCGCTCTTTGGCAATCTTCGTAATCGTTGACATGTTGACATGAGGGTGGGCATCGTAAGAATTGGGCATCGTGTGAATTGAGCATCGTGGGAAGTGGGCATCGCGGGATGCTTCCCTTCCATCCGCCCTCCTGAGAATATTTCTGCGGACGTCCCTGAATATAAACTCCTTTTTTCAGCTTATTGGCTCAGACAAATATTTGAACAATAATATATTTTGTCACTACTCAACGAATTTCTTACAGAATTGCACCCTGTAGACCAATAATCCAAACGACATGGAAAGTTAAAATGAATATCCCTACTGAATTGTAAACCGCCACTGTCATATATTTAATCTCTCATTAATTCCTGCTCTTTTCTCATGAATAGTTAATCGAACATACCATGAAGCTATCGTCACGAATGGTGAAAAAAATACTTCAATGATAATAGCCCAGATAACAAAATGTGTGGCTAAAAACGTGTATATAGTGTATAGAAGACTCCGAACAATATTTGTTTGCGAGGATAAAAAGGAAGGACTCCGATTGAAAGCTCAATAACTTCACGCTCGATTTTATGACAATATATGGATTCTTCTATTATCATTATCATGTTTGGCTTCAACTTCCGAACTCTGAACTATCTTGTTCAAAACTATAGAATCGAATATAATTTTCATTGATCTCCATATTCTGTCGACCTATCGTATATCACCGTACGTAATACAGAGGATTGATCCTTAAAACGATGTGAAGATGATGAGATTTATTGTCTCAGGAAATAAACTACTACTTCTTCATATCAGAATTTCATCATGCATCATCTACCATCTATTGGGAAAACTAAAGTTGTTGCACTCATCTTTGAAACTGTATCAATATTATACATAAACGAAGATGTATTGCTTTTGTTCAAGTTTGAGAGATGTTACGAACTCAATCAGTTTAACATCATGCGTTCAATTTGACGAAATTCAATTAATATAACATCTCATTCAATTTGAACATTTTTTGAATACTGAAATTCACACCATTCTCCTCAAAAACTTGAAGTTGTTTGACTCAAAACCTGAGTAAATAAGTATGATATAGATTATATCGTGAATGTTTGAGAGAATTTTATTTTCCGGCAACCATTCGAGAACTACCCACTTCTCGGACGCTTTTTTTTTTGAGGAAGTAGCATTTTTTTGGCCTAGTCAGGAAAGTGCGTTCTTTCCGGACTAGGTCGGGAAGTATCACATCGTTGTTGTCATTATATGAAAATCTTGGTAGACATGGTTTCGATTGATGCAGATGAGCATTGATCATAGCAGCAAAATAACGGCTGACAGCTAGCTATTTGACACGAAATTAGTTGACATTTTGATTTTTGAAAGTTTTCATGGTTTTTGGTCGCTATTATCGCAATGAACTATAGAAAGCAACAGCGATAGTGAGTTTTAAAATGTGTCATACGAAATTTTCAATGCAAGTGTTAGTATATATAGGTATTCTGTTCGAATTTCAGTATTTGATACGAATTGAAATGTTCAAAATTTTATTTCACAAACAAATATGTGTCTCAGTGATTTATTACTTTAAATGGTTACAACAAATAGTGTACACAACACGTCCGAAAACGTTTTTTTTGGACTTGCAGTCATGCAGGACTCGCCTGACGGCTCGGTCTGGGATTTTCCCTACCCGTCAAAAGAAAACAGTATTTCCTGAACTTGTTGCGTAAGTTACTATTTACAATATCATTATATTTGGTTCTCAGTGGAAACAAAGGCAGAACGATTTCTTTCAATTAATGTTCAATATAAACCCTAGATTCATTAAAACAATGTCAATTTGTTTATTTCCACCACCAAATGATTTCGTATCACAATTAGATCCAACTTTTACTAGAAATAGCCATAAACATTATTTAGGAAAACAATTATTATTTCCTTCGGAACTATGTGAAATAAGAAATTTTACCGCATATAACAAAATAAAAATAATTTGATACCCCTATTTGATACCCCTATCATCACCCCTAAGAATGTTCTGAAAAAAAAAATTCAGGAGGTGAGGAAGGTTTCAACCCTTGTACAATTTCCTTCGAGTTCCTTTGGATGCTGAAAGGAAGGTTATCCTGTCTGAAATGCTCTTTCATCAAATTTCATCCAATTTGTTTCACTCATTTTTGAACATCGTACAAAAATATGTTTTTTTTTTATGTAAACTTTGAACTCGTATGACAAACACGGTACATTTTTTAAATGAATGAGTTGGGTTCAATCAACTTATTTTGAACTGTATCACACATGGTAGCTGAGTCGCAGCAATTTTGGGACACCCTGTATATCATCAATTTGAATGCCAATATTATCTAGATTATTGTATCTGATGATAATATGCGGGACTTCAGTTGGAGCTTTCATACGAAGTATATATTATGGTGATATAATTTACTCACTTATCAATGTCAGTGTATACTTGATCGCATACGTAACACCTTGTTTCACCGTCTTCTTCGTCTTCCTCACGTTCATCAACTGTTCCACTGTGCTGGGAGGCTGCAAAAAGTACTTCACTTCAGATAAAGTCAGTCAAAAACAATATCATGATAGAATTATTAATTAGTGTTGAAGCGATGATCAAATCGAAATTGAAGTTTAAATTGGAAATAAATCTGTCTACTGAATCATTTTGAAAAAAAAAATTGGAACTGATCACGGAGTGTAGGAGAAAATAAGGTACATATTTCAGTCCACTATTTGTTTTCACAAATTTCATTCGTTCTGTAATACATGTGAATTTTTACAGTCTTAGTTATATCCTATTTAATCCGTCAAATGATGAATATATTCAAATCATCTACTCCTCAAACACTTTCAACTTGAAGACAATACAAGGTTATTCTCAATTGATGAAAAATTCTATCAACACAATCTTGATCAAATGAAGTAAATTAATGATTATAATCGTTTATAGATAGTAACCTTCAGTACATCTTCACGATGATATTCTTAACACGATCACAGAAAACACAAGGCAAAATGTCACAATATAAACCAATCCACAGGTACCAAAACACAAATTTGAACTAAATTATCAAAGTTTGCCGCAACATATTGCACCTTCACCTGTCCCCTTATTGGCGAGCAGCGACTATGCTTCCACCCTCTCTCTTTCAACCCCGGAAAGCGCGAGTAGGACAGTGACAGAAGAGGGTTGAAACGTCAAATGCATGAGAAATGATTTTGTTAACCCCGTTTATGTCTGTAATGACGATAGTTGTTGGGAAATTAGATAGCAGTGGGGGTTTCCGTTTTTGGAGACTTCGTTTTGATTGAGGGTGATGACTGTTGTGTATATTAACAGATTGATTGGGGTCACATTATTGGTGTACTATTGAAATATCATTTTTTGTTTAAAGAATTGAAACTCCAACTAGAGATCTTATGAGAATTGAATTATTCTATACGATATTCATTCCAGAACCATCTATAAGTCGAGATCTCATGAGGATTTAATTATTCTATACAATATTCATTCCAGAACCACCAACCTCATCTGGAGGTCCTCTCAGAGATTACTTTCTGGAATCAACAGAACCAGATATTTTCTGTATCTCTTTCTTCTCTTTCTAATCTTTGGTGATTCCTTATTCTATAATGACATGAACTGATTGGCAAAACAAAGAAACGTCTATATGCAGAATATAGCCTGGATTCAAACCAAAATCATTCTCGAATCATTGAAATAATTTTGATCCGGAATACCAAATATTCATCATAGTCAACAAATAACTTGTTGTAACAAAATGATAATGAAAAATTATCAGAGTGACAATTGGAGCAGTTTGAATAGGGTGGGATATCGTTTTGAAGTTTGAACAAATGATTTATTCTAATATTGTTGCTGTATTTCGAAATGAGACTTCGAATTTTTGAAACCGTATCAATCCATAAATTTACTTTATGATTTCCATCTTAAACATTAACATAATAAAACATTGTACATATTTATGTCAAAAACGGTTCGTTTCTCGAAAAAAATTGAGGAGCAAAAAAAAGCCTCTAAATTGAACGATCTACACAATTTGATCACTGAAAGATGCCAGAGGCGTACTACGAAGAAGTTTGGAGGGGATAGAGGAGCCTCTACCTCCAAAAACGTATCACCCTGTAGATTTGAAAAACCTTTAAAATGCTTGAAATGATGATCTTCTAGGGAGTATTGACTACACCAAATTTCAAAATGATATCTTGAAAAGTAAGCGAGATATTTCAATTAATAGAAAAAAATAATTTAACTTTGACCCCTGTAGCTCCGATACTGAACGAGATCGGACTAGTTTATATGAACTTCTGTGATTGATATGATGAGATTTATCTCCCATTTCAGTTCGTGCCTCAAAACCTGAATCACCCTGTATATGAATATATTATATTATTATGTATTTGAATATATGTATTATATGTACTTGAATATATTATATGAATTGATATATTATGTAAATATATTTTATGTATCGATATGTAGAGATGTCTATCGGCATATATCGATATGTATCGATAAATCGATATGTATCGATATATCGATAAATCGATAAATATCGATATCAGAGCGAACATCGATATCGATATCCAATTTTCAATATTGTACAGCCCTAGTTGTTACTGAATATTATCTCATACATTAGATATTTCATATTTTCCAATCTAAACATCATGAATGATAAAGAGATACATGCATATTTTTTGCATCTGATCAATAATATGGATAATCTGAATATGAACAAAATACAAATTGTTTCCATACATGAATTTATACTTTGATATTCGTTCCTTAAGGGTGATTTCATTTGTTTCCTGTTAGAATAAACGCTATCAGCGTAACATGTCAAAGATGGATGGGTGATAGCTCGTGCCATATGGCGTTCTTTTGTTTTATGGCATTATAGTTGTTTCGATTTCTGTTTTATCATACGTATTCTCACGTGATGAATTTTCTAAATTAGGGGTTGACGGACAGATGTTTGAATTCGTTTAAATATACACCTGACTTCTAACCTATAACGTTCTTGATTTTATGCGATTCTGTGACTATATGGAAATTATGATGAATCGTTTTGTGATATATATGAAGTTTGTCTTCTTATGGAAGTACCCATGTATCTTCTGTACACAATTATTGAGAAAGGATTTTTAAATTTGCATGAGCAATACGGCTATCGATAATGCACTCAATCATCATACAGCGATGTCATCAGTTATACACATACACTGCTCGTCAGTAGCCGTGAATGATGCAATTTATTTCCTTTTTTTTTTCCTGGATATAAATATTTTCATAATTCAACCTTCTTCTGCGTTCTCATGAAAGAACCCCTTTGCTCCTGTTATTGTCGAAGTGAACTCATGAAATATGTAGAAGCAAGAACACAATCGGATGTACTTCCAATGCAAATGGGATTAGTACCAGTCTCAACTATACTGCTAGCCAGCAGTGTCAGTATTTTAATGCTGCTGGCAAGCAGGTATAGATATCCAAGAAACTTTTGGTAGTTCAGAAATCATCATTTTAAAAATCATATAGTGGACATCTATTGAAAAATCGTTACAAAATTCGATTGAGTATCTTTATTTTAATATAACGATATTATATAAGTATTTATATGTACATATTTCATAGACTGTTTCATGCAGTTCTCAAATGAATCAATAGAGGAGCTCTGGACAAGTGCGGATTATCATAAGTAATATCACGATTTTCTGAAAATTCGAGATAATTCTGTCGCTTCATTGTTCACGACATTGCGTTACCGAGCAATACCAGGAGTTCGTCAGGAAAGTTCCTTACATGTTATATCGCGTACCCTAGGAACTCTAGACCAGTGAATAATGGTTATTCACTGCTATTATCCACTGGTATGAAAAATGGCTAAAATTTCTCTTGAGGAAGTACATGTTTCATGAATATTTAATACAACAGTCGTGGATATAAAAGATCTGAAATTATTGTAATCGAGATATTAACTCCATTGCGAGTAAGTACAAGTGGGTGTTGAAATACTCAAAAACTTTGTATGTTATAACTGATATATTACTTACCTTATAATAATTGGAGTCGAAATCGAAATTTTTAAAATATGTTATATTATTACTGGTTCAATCAAATTATGTATTTCGCCCGATGTCAATCTTGTTTTTATTGAACTCGGGAATGAACTTCATCTTGCTGAATTTCAGACTTTTCACTTTCCACTTCGTTGTTGTGTTGTTTGTTGAGAAATACTAATGCAATTTCATTCATGATTAAATTGATCTCATGAGTCTGTCTCTCATTCTTGAGTTAATAGACTTTTTACGAATATTTATTCACTTATGGTATTACTGCTGATGATAAAATTTGCCCAATTATCAAATGGACCACGATTTTTCAAAACGAAATCTGTTCAAATAAATGATTGAATTCCATGACCCATTCAACCGCGGATTTTGTTTTCTTCATATCGTATTTAGTTTGTCGATTATCACTGATTCTTACCAGTCCATGAAAATTCATTGATTTATCAATCGTTATTATGCTTATATGGATATTCATCAATGAATAATCCATTTTGGATAGATTTCTCAGGATAATTTGACATAAGGAGATGAAGATACGTCAGAATTTGTAATATTTTCATGCATACATTGCTATGGAGGTTTCTTTGATGGTCGTGAAGTTGAGAGTAAAAAAACGTGAGTCTGCTCAAGTCATTCCATAACTCGAGGTTTCACATTATATCATACATCATTTTTTCGGAATATTTTGCTGGATAGCCTGAGAGACTTTCCGGAATATCATTGTTGCACAGAATAATCAATGTAATAAAACTGCTCGAATGAGGATTGCCTGATGAATATTCGTATACCTATAAACAATTGATACATCCATAATATAACTTCAAAAAGTGAATCATTCTTCAAAATTCCAGTTTTTTGCATTTATGAAATCCAATATTTGGAGATGAAACGGCATTACTCTCACAAGGAGGCCTATCTGAAAAAAATGCTCATTTGAGTTAGGGCATCAGTATGGATGGATGAAGTCAACTGATGAAACCTCAAATCTAAACGATAAAAGATCTCCAAAATTTCTCGCATTGGAGCAACATAAAATGTATTATTATTCATAACGATTCTATTTCAAATCTAAGACTATCTATTATCTCCTGAATAAAGGGATTCATTCAGGAAACTAATTTACATTCTTCTTCTACTGAATAAGCAGCATTCAAAGATATCTTTGTACATAAATATATACATATACACATATATAACTTTCCATTTGAAGATTTCATTCATACTCGAATGATTCTCATGAAAACTAAAATCTATATTTCGAAAATAATCCATGAGAACCACATTTTTATAATATAAAACACTTCCTGTTCATTTATACGAATTGTGTGTTATGCTAATTATATATAAGTTAGACGCCTTGATATCTACACATATTCATGCTGATCCTATATTAATTCAAACAATGAACCAATAAAGGAGGCAAATCAAAGCTGAAAATT